GAAGCCGACAGCTCTGTGAGATTTAGGGGCACCAGCAGGAAACTAGTTTCTGCAAACCACTCCTGCCTTGTCCAAGGTGTTGGGCCTTCTCTCACGTCTCCTCCGACCTGGAACTTGGGGGAGCAGCAGGTTCCAGCCTGAGGACTCACTGTGACAGAAACATCCTGCACTTGCCCATTATATGTAAACACATGTTGTCCTAAAGACAGAGTCACTGACACTGTGAGATTTTTCTGGGTCTCAATAATGTAAAGGAGGGGCACAAAAAAAAAAAAAGAAAACCTGTTCCTCTCATCTAAGGCAGGTCAAATTTCACATTCATTAAAAAAAAAAGTGTGGGGGGGGATTTAAGAGTTTATTTATTCCTTTTACACGAGTGAGAGGGCCTTGGGAGAAAAATGTCGTAGAGAGAAGTGGGGAGGAAGAATGAAAGTGCTTTCTCAAAATGCCTCATCTGCCTATTGGAAGCTGGGAAAGAGAGGACAGAGAAACAGCCCTTGCCTCTCCCTTGAACAAAACCCCCAGAGGCAATGTGGTCATAATGCTGCTGGCCTCCTCTGCCTGCTTGCAGACAGCGAGCGAACCAAGAAATTAATCTGAAATAAACAATGAGAAGGCAGGAAGCCCAGCGCATCTCCGGGTTCCCTGTGGCCCCCACTTGACGATACCCCGGGGCTGTTTAAGCAGGGGGCTCTCGGTCCACCCACTCTCTGCAGTTTTCACGACGTCACAGCGCCCGCGGAGAACCGCCAGCGTCAAGATGTCACTCCAGGATAATCTGAAAACTGGGGACTGACTTCATGGCTTTGGCCTTCCCGGGGACCTGGGGTGGAAGGCGCTCCAGCCGCCTGAGCTAGACCAGAGGGCTGGCGACCCAGCTTGATCGTCTGCCAGAGAGCCCGGCTCATGCCACTCTGCATCAGCATCGCACCAGAGGAAGCCTGGGCCCCCTCGAACCTACAGGTTCCAGAAACCAGGGCGATGTGATGTGCCCCGGGCATCCGGTCCTGCTGAGATAGAAAAGGATTGCGAGAAAGACACAAGATCATTTGTCTTAAATTCTGGCAGTCACCTTCGGAATTGTGTAATGATACCATTTCGCCCTTTTCCTAGGTTGGATGGAGACAGCCCCCCTCCCCTTGCCCCATTCATGCAGATCTGAACTAATCTGATGTCCCAGCTACTATGAGGACATCTGGGAGGGAGCAGCTGGGTAGAGGCCCTGCAGAGTGAGATGAAGCCCTCATTCTAGAGCTCCAGTTCCCTTTGGGAAATTGTTCAAAACTCCTGAGAATCTCAGCTGTTTTCTGTCAGTTCTCTCCCCAGAACTAAAGACACCCTAAACTGAAGGGGGACCCCAGGGGAGGCAGGTGGGACTCTGTGACCTACAGGGGAAATGCTTGGGGTGAAGTGAGCGCCCTGACCCCTGCGGAGTCCAGGGCAAAGGAGGAACCGCTTCCTCCAGCGGTGGTTTTATTTGTATTTTTAAATCAGCAAGGCAAAAGCACTTTCAGCTGAAAATGCCCGAGAGATTTTTTTTTAAAAGAGGGAAATTATGGAGGGACAAACACACACACACACACACACACACACACACACACACACAGTCCTAGGAAGTTTCCCGTGGGCCATCCTAGAGAAGCCTGGAAGGAATCCGCACAGTGCCCTTCTCCCTGGTACCTTGACTAAAAACAGATATTTTCGAAAAAGGAAGGTTAAAAAAAGCGAGCCAGCACACTCCCTTTGGAAGCAAAGTCCCTCTGGGGCCACGGCCCGGACGTCCCCACTGCCAGCTCTCCCCTCCTCTCCCCCTCGGACTCTCAGCCAGGCCCGGACTAGCCAGCTCGCCCAGTCTGTCTCGTTTTGGCTCGGTCCCCGGGCCCCCGGGGCGCCGAGCGCGTTTGCAGCCGCCGCTGCCCCCAGGGCGGGTCGCGTCACCCGGAGCAGGGGGACGGGTTCCTCCCTTCCCGCGACACTTCCCGTTCACCGCACCCCGCTTTCTTTGGGAAAACAAGGTGGGGGGAGAAAAATGAAAAGCCCCCTTCTCGGCCTGCAGTTTTAGGGGCTCCGGGATGCTCCAATCTTGGCGACACAGATCGGATCACCTCCCCGAGCAGGGCGCCCGTTTGGGGAGAAACGCACTGGGACAAACACACAGGCGCGGGCGTTTTGGGGACGTGCGGCCGGGAGCTCTGGAGCCCTGCGAGGTGCAAAGGTCACTTTTTCTGGCCGGCCCACAGATATTCACTGCGCCCCGACGAAACCGCCTGGGACTTCCCTTTTCCCTCCTGCTGGGGCCGCGCAGCCCGGCGCTTGTCCTGAGACAAGCTTACCTGCGGCTCCTTTGCAAAGAGAACTGATGTCCCTCGCGAACTGGGGAGACCGGCAAGCCGGCCGGGCCCCAGTGAAACAGTGCTAAAAACGAGGATCCGCAGGCCGCCCAGGGAGGGCGCCAGGGCCTGAGGGTCCCGCCAGGGGCTGGGCTCTTTCACCTCAAGGGAACCCGGCCAGGGATGTTGGCGGAGGGCAGGGGCATCCCTCGTCCCCGGCACTTCTGCAGAAAACACTGCCCTGGGCAGAGAGACGCGGGAGACGCTGCCGCTCGCATCCCCACCAGTTAGTTTTATTTTCCCCCCACCCAGGACCTGCCTGCCTGCAGAAAACGGTTTGGACTCCACTTTGGCCAAGGAATTTTAGAGAGGGAGGTCGCGGTCCTTAGTCCCCCACCCCCCCCCCCCCCCACCGCGCAGGCAAAAGGTAGCCCCCTCCGTCCACACGGCCCACCCCCACCGGAGACAGAGCCCCCCCTTCCCGCGCCCAGGCGCACGGAATGCGCTCCACGCCAGCTACGCTGGGCTCCTGCCTGGCTCCCGCGTAGACGCGGAGGGGGAACGGCCGCCCGGGCTGGGGAAATTGAGCCCGGCGCCGGCCACGGACGCCGAGAGAGCGGGAGGTGGGGCGTATCCCAGACCTCGGTTTCCCGAGGGATCCGCTCGCACCGGGAGTCTCGGCTCCCGGCTGCAGACCTCGCGGCGTTGCCTCCCTCGCAGGCGGGACGCGAATGCGCGCCTTGTATTGGGGGCAGTGCGGCCCAGCGCTGGCCCCTTTCTGCTCCGTCTGCGCCCCCCGGTCTCCTTCAGCCCCCCACCCCCACCCCCAGGCAGAACGCTCTAGCTCAAACTGGGTCGACAGGCTCAGTTTCTCCATCTGCAACCGGAATATTGTGAACGGGTTTCTTTCCCTCGGGTTCCCTCTGACTCAGGGGCTCTGGTGGGGGCTGCGAGCCGTCTTCCTTGGGCAGCTCAGAAAGGTCAACCTGCGAGCAAGGGAGAGTCATCCCCCACCCCCAGAGAACCAAGTCCCCGCAAGGAGGCGGGTGGGGTGGGGGGTGGGCATCCACCGGAGCCTCCTGCAGAGATGCGAAACCGCCCTCCCCACTAACGGATCCATGATGCCCACGCGCCAGAATCGGCCTGGTCCTGGCACTCCGAGATGCTGGGCACCTTGGAGCTGGGGGTCCTTGCGGTCTCAGTGTTCCCGTTCTGGGCAGAACAGAAACGTCAGACATCTCAAATGCCTGACTATAGGAGACACATCTCCCAGTTCCCTTCGCTGGGCTGCCCAGAGGTGGACCTGCATGGGAGGACATATCGGATAGGAATTCCTGCGGAGAGAAATCTCTGCAGCAGGGCAGCCTTGACTGAGTGAAACACACCACCCCCTACCACCACCATCTCAGTTTTCCTGCAGTTTCTGAGAGTTAAGACAGTTTCTGGGCTTTTGGCGCCCTCTCTGGATGCAGCTAAAAATTGCAGCCCGTTTTTAAAATCAACTGTTTATCCTAAGCTTTCAAAAAGATACAAAAATATTGGTATGGAACAAACAGAAAGGGGATACAGATCTATAGCTTACAATTTTAAATTCTATGCATTACATAGCTCCTATTACATTATCACGTTAAAATATATATTTAGATTACGTATTTATCTTGACAAATATTTAGTGAAATATTACCCAAAAAAAGTCACATTCGTCTTCACTGCCTTCATGCCAGTAAACATGGGAATTACAATACAATGCAACTAAATACAGACGGCCCGGCTAAAGCTTCTACCCGAAGTTCTGGTCTCTGAGTCCCCTCTTCGGTCAGGTGTCTTGAGAACTGTACTAACAACTCCCCCCTCCCTAGGACCCAGATACAAGTCCCGACTAAGCGGGACTTTTTCTCCTAAGAAAGGTCGGAGTTGTTCTTATACTTTCCCAGCGTATTCACGCGGCCAGGAATACAAGGCTGTTATACCTCGTCTCTTAAAGGGGTAAACAAGCTATAGAGTACCAGACATGTCCACTTGTAAGTTACATTCGTTTAAAAAGTAAATACTGTTTCACAGTTTTGTAACTGGCTACCTTCTGAAGAGTTCCATTTCCTGTAACAAATGTCCAGTTCTTCAGAAGAAATGGAAATGTCAGGGGGGAAAAAAATTCTCCAAGGAAAACATTCTTTGAAATCTTGCACTAGTGTTCGCAGTTTGCAAATTAGAAATAAGAAGTCTTTGCTCTGAAGAGGGATGATTCACCGTAACAATAATTTAATTCGGAGGCGAACACTGGCGAGAGCCAGAAGGAGAAAGGGGCAGGTACTTAGAAGTGAGTTTTCCGCCGTTGTGTTGTGCGTTTATTTGTGATTCTCAACACACGGAACCCGCAGGCGACTAAGATTTTTCTTCCCTCTCAAAACACAGAGCCAGCTAAGCAGTTCGTGTAAACACAAAAGTTGTGCTCAAATCACACTTGAAACACATCAGCGACACCCCCACACCCCTGACCAGGGCTTCCGAATGTCTGCAAGTCAGAGGATCCGACTAAAGTCAGCACCACAGGCGCTTCGCCGCTCCAGGTGTTTTTGTAGGGGGGTGGGGGAAGGTGAAAGCAGGCAAGAAGCAGGACTCCACCAAAATGGAGTGTTTTGTCTGCGGTGGAACCCATTTGTTTTGGCTTTTTCAAACCCAGTGACGGGCCTCGGCCTCCAGGCCCAGCACAGCCACGTTCGCCAAGTTCGGTTTCTGAAAGCCAGAGCAGTAAGCGAACTCTCTCCAAGGGTAACTCTGCTCAGGTTCTGATTCGGCCAGGGGTGAAAGGCAGAACCTCGGGACGGTGGCCCTGTCACTGAGCCGCGCGGCGGTGTGCGGGCTGGGAGGACAGGGGGGCTGGAGAAGAACTAAGTCAGAGTTCAAGGTCTGAGAGGCGCGGGCCGGCTCCCGCGACTGCGCGGGGCTCCGGCGTCGCCGCGGCGGCCGGCGCGCGCGGGGCACTTCGCTGTGGTTTTCATTGATTCTCTTTGCACCGAGCGCAGCCGAGTCCCGACCAGCCGCACGGGCCCCGGCGAACCAGAGCATGTTCGTCTATTTATACGGATTATTACAGAGGAACGGCGGACGTTGAGTCACCAAAACATTTGCTTCAAAAGACAATTTCTAAGCACTTTCGGAGGAGGCAGGCTCCAGGCGCGGAAACTGGGCTGGGAGTTAAGGAAGGAGCAGGAGCGATAGCTTTTCGAATACTGCAAACCCAGTTAAGTCCCCGGGACCGCGGAGAAAACTGAACAGAAATGCCTGTGGGTGGGGACAAATCCTAGTCCACACACACACACACACACACACACACCCGCAAAGATTCGCGCAGAGACGACACCAAATTCTGATATTAAGAGAGGACGGCAAACTTACACACTTGGAAGTCCCGGGTCCCCCGCCTTCCCCGGTGCACCCCCCCCCCAAACCCCCGCGGGACCAGAGGCTGCGATCGCCTCCCCGCTCCTCCCCTCTCCTCTCGTCACCCTGCCCAGCGCCACAGTCCTCCCCCCCCCCCCCAAATCGGGCCCAATCAGCTGCCTGCCAACCCCTCAAATGCCGCGCTGTGATTGGCCCTTGCATTTATTAAAGAGCCGCTGGACTGGGAGTTGGAGAGCGCAGAGCGGAGATTGAAACTGAGCTGGAACTTCAGTGGCGCCGAGACTTGCCAGTTTCACTCCAGGAACTTTTCTTTGCAGGAGGGAGGAGAGAAGGGGTGCAATCGCCCCCGCTTTCTGCTCTCTCTTCCCCTCCTCCTCCTCCTCTCCAGTTCGCCTTCCCCCACTTGGAGCGGGCAGCTGCGGGCTGGCCCCCGCGCGCCTTCCTAAACGCTCGTCCCTGCGGCCGAGTGACGCGCCAGGCTCCCCGGGAGCTGCTCGCCCCGCGCCCGGGCCGCCGAGGGGAGAGGAGCCCGCGCCTCGAGTGCCCGAGCCGCCGCGGCTTCTCGCCTTTCCCGGCCACCCGCCCCCTGCCTGCGTATGAATCTCCTGGACCCCTTCATGAAGATGACCGACGAGCAGGAGAAGGGCCTGTCCGCCGCCCCTAGCCCCACCATGTCCGAGGACTCGGCGGGCTCGCCCTGCCCTTCGGGCTCCGGCTCCGACACGGAGAACACGCGGCCCCAGGAGAACACGTTCCCCAAGGGCGAGCCGGACCTGAAGAAGGAGAGCGAGGAGGACAAGTTCCCCGTGTGCATCCGCGAGGCCGTCAGCCAGGTGCTCAAGGGCTACGACTGGACGCTGGTGCCCATGCCGGTGCGCGTCAACGGCTCCAGCAAGAACAAGCCGCACGTCAAGCGGCCCATGAACGCCTTCATGGTGTGGGCGCAGGCGGCGCGCAGGAAGCTGGCCGACCAGTACCCGCACCTGCACAACGCCGAGCTCAGCAAGACGCTGGGCAAGCTCTGGAGGTAGGGCGGGCGGGCGCGGCGGGGTGGGCTCCGCGGCGGCGGGGGGCGCTGGCCCCGACGGTCTCTCCGCGCCCCGCCTCCCCGCAGGAGGGGGTCGCCGGTCCCTCGCAGGCTTGGGGCGGGGGCGGGGGCGGGGGCGGGGGTGGGGAGGGTTGGCGGAGTGGGGTGCGGGGACGAGGTGTCACTTGGCTGAGAGTTTGACCGAGTTCTTGGATTGCTCTTGCGGGGGGGGGGGGGGGGGGAGGTGGGGCGGGGGGGGCAGGTCGCAGAGGAGGGGAGGACACTCGCAGGGGACGCGGTGGGACCGGCTGCCAGCCTCATCTCCTGCCGCCCACTGTGAAGGCCAATCCCAAGTGGGGGCTGCGGTGGCAATAGAAGTGTGCCGCCCCCTGCCTCGACCTGCGCTCGCCCTTCGCCCACCGGGATGGTATGCAGGGGGAGGAGGGGTGGCAAACCAAGGCCTGAGGGTCCCCTGGCAGGAAGCGGACGGGGTGGGGGATGGGGTTGGAAGCTGCTGGAAATAGGTGGGTGCCCTGTGTGTGTTAGCGGGCGGGGGGCGGTGGGGTTCGGCAGGAGCAGCTTCTTGCAGATTAAGTGGTTTTTTAGAAAATGTTCAGAGGGTGTTGCGGACGGAAGCGGGGCGGGTAAATATCCAGTAGCAAAGGCCCGGAGAGCGGGAGCTATTTTCATCCGCAGGGTTTCCAAAATAGAAGAGAAGGGGAGAGGGCGGGGCGGGGAGGGACCGCTCAGGTCGCACCAAGAGGACGAAGTTTTGCGGTTCTTGTTTTTCAAAGAAAAGCGGTGAGCTGCAGTCCCGGCTGGCAGGCAGGGAGGCGGGAGGGAGGCGGGGGTCAGTGTTAGGATGCCGCGGGGTGGGGGTCGCCTCCGGGTCTCGCCGACCTGCTAGCTCAGCCCCTGTCTCTTTCTCCCCGCGCCGCCCCCAGACTGCTGAACGAGAGCGAGAAGCGGCCGTTCGTGGAGGAGGCGGAGCGGCTGCGCGTGCAGCACAAGAAGGATCACCCGGACTACAAGTACCAGCCGCGCCGGAGGAAGTCGGTGAAGAACGGCCAGGCGGAGGCCGAGGAGGCCCCGGAGCAGACGCACATTTCGCCCAACGCCATCTTCAAGGCGCTGCAGGCCGACTCGCCGCACTCCTCCTCAGGCATGAGTGAGGTGCACTCCCCCGGCGAGCACTCGGGTGAGCCTCCCCCCGCCCCCGGGCCGAGCCGCCAGACCCCCACCCCGGCAGCCCGCCCCCCGCCCCCCAAACACCCGGGAGGCTCTGCTTAGGGACAAGGCGCTCCCCGAGGAGGGAGACAAACTAAGCCCTGCGCCCATTCGCCCAATTCTCCTCGCCTCCCTGCCTAGGACCCCAGGGCCCCACGAAGTCCCTGGACACACACAACACACCCCCTAATCCTTGCATCCTAACAGATTAATTTTTATTGCAAGGCAAAATGCCTTTACAGCTTTACCGGCCTTCTCCCCTTTTTCTCTTTGCTCCCCCGCCCCAAAAGCACACACAGGACTTTTCTACAAGTAGCAATGTGGTCTTCCGCACCCTCCGGGGCCTTGGACCCTCCCCTGATAAAAGGGGGCTGCCGAGTGTGTAGCGGCGGGTTAATCATTCTACGCCTTATCTCGGGCACAGCGCGCCTACCTCGCGGATGCGGGGAGGGAGGGTGGGTAGGTGCGCCCCCCGCCCCCACCCCGGGACCAGAGCCTCTGCGCAGCCGTGGTTGATGGCCCTGTGCTTCTCCCTCTTTCACCGCCCCGCAGGGCAATCCCAGGGTCCACCGACGCCCCCCACTACCCCCAAAACTGACGTGCAGCCAGGCAAGGCCGACCTGAAGCGGGAGGGGCGCCCCCTGCCAGAAGGGGGCCGGCAGCCCCCCATCGACTTCCGCGACGTGGACATCGGCGAACTGAGTAGCGACGTCATCTCCAACATGGAGACCTTCGACGTCCACGAGTTCGACCAGTACCTGCCGCCCAACGGGCACCCGGGGGTGCCGGCCACGCACGGCCAGGTCACCTACACGGGCAGCTACGGCGTGAGCAGCACGGCGGCCAGCCCGGCGGGCGCGGGCCACGTGTGGATGTCCAAGCAACAGGCGCCGCCGCCGCCGCCGCCGCCCCCGCAGCAGGCGCCGCCGCCCCCACCGCAGCCGGCCCCGCCGCAGGCGCCCCCGCAGCCGCCGCCGCCGCCACAAGCCGCCCCGCCGCAGCCCGCCCCGCCGCAGGCGCCCCCGCAGCAGCAGCCGCCGCCGCCGCCGGCGCACGCGCTGGGCGCGCTGGGCAGCGAGCCGGGCCCCGCGCAGCGAACGCACATCAAGACGGAGCAGCTGAGCCCGAGCCACTACAGCGAGCCGCAGCAGCACTCGCCGCAGCAGATCGCCTACAGCCCCTTCAGCCTGCCGCACTACGGCCCCGCCTACCCGCCCATCACGCGCGCACAGTACGATTACAACGACCCCCAGAACTCGGGCGCCTACTACAGCCACGCGGCGGGCCAGGGCTCCGGCCTCTACTCCACCTTCAGCTACATGAGCCCGGCGCAGCGGCCCATGTACACGCCCATCGCCGACACCTCGGGGGTGCCCTCCATCCCCCAGACCCACAGCCCGCAGCACTGGGAACAGCCGGTGTACACACAGCTCACCAGACCCTGAGAAGAGCTCGCACGGGGCGGGCGCCCGCGATGCTGGCCGTGATGATCGCAGAAAGAACCGAAGAAACAAACGCGCGACCCTTTGGACATTTTTTTTTTCCTTCTCTCTCTCTCTCTCTCTCTCTCTCTTTTTTTTTTAAAGACACGTTAACGCTGAAGGCGACTAGGACGCAGATCCCAAGACACTAAACTTTGAGCTATCCAGACGCATTACCGCCTTGTCGTTAGACCGGTGGCCAGCTCACTCTTGGCTAGAATGGACCGGCGGAACCGACGCCGAAACTGGACTGGAAACCTTCAAAGCGAGCGTGGAGGACGATGGAGAGTCTCTCGTGTGACCAATTTGCTCAGTTCTCTCTGCCTGTTTGGACTTCGTAATTATTTTTTAGCAGTAATTAAAGAAAAAGAAAGTCCTCTGTGAGGAATATTCTCTATTTTAAATATTTTTTAGTATGTACTGTGTATGATTCATTACCATTTTGAGGGGATTTATACATATTTTTAGATAAAAAGAATTAAATGCTCTTATTTTTCCAACAGCTAAAACTACTTTAGTTTGAACAGCGTGCCCTAGCTTTTCTTGCAGCCAGAGTATTTTTGTACAGATTTGCTTTCTCTTACAAACAAAGGAACGAAAAAACAGCAAAAAAAAAAAAAAAAAGGATGTGTGTTATATTAACCTGCAAAAGCCGCAGATTTGTGTTACTGGGCAGTTTGGGGAGGGTGAGCTTTGCTTAACTCCTCAGGCTTTCCAATTCAAGGAGAAGTTGCCTTAGAAAGAAAAATCAAGGCCTTATTTTGCAAAGACAGAAGTAAACAATAGTCTAGAGACTATTGCGTGAGCATCTGGTAAGCTTTATCATATATATGTTTTTTAAGCAAGAAAAAAAAGCCACCTTAAAGCCTTAAAACCATGCTGCTGGAAAATTTTTGCCCCCTCTTTGAATGCATTTCTTCCTGTATTTGCTTGTTCGCCACAATCTTAAGCAGCAGAAGGCAAGCAAAGGAGACGAAATCTGTCTGGGGACTGCTTCAGCAGCCAATAAGTGCCCCAGCACACTGCCCCCAGGTCGCCTGCCCCGGCCCCATGTGGAATACAGATGCTAGAATCCTCTCACTAACACTATCACCTGTGCCTCTCTGAACACCAGCAGTTAACCTTCAAGACATTCCACGCGCTAAAATTATTTATTTTGTAAGGAGAGGTTTTAATGAAAAACAACAACAACAAAAATCTCCCTCTTTTTTTTTTTATTTTTTAAATTTACCTTCTTTAAAATAGGTTATTGCAGCCGTCCTCAAAGGGTATGGTCATCTGTTGTTAAATTATGTCCTTAACTGTAACCAGTTTTTTTTTATTTATCTCTTTAATCTTTTTTTTTATTAAAAGTTTCTTTGGATTCCTTGTCCTAGATTTGTATAAATGCCTTTTTTGTCCTTTTTTTTTTTTCCTTTCCTCTTTGTTGTTTTGTTGAAAACAAACTGGAAACGTGTTTCTCTTTTTGTACACATGAGAGTTTGCAGATGTAGTGTATCACTGAGTCATTCGCAGTGTTTTCTGCCACAGATCTCGGGGCTGTCTAAACTGTGTCTTTGGTGTGTGTGCTGACACCGACAATACAAGCGTGTGTCATCAGCGTCCCCTGCATGTCTCTTGGAGAGAGAGGGGAACAGGGGAGGAGGCTCAGCCCACTGACAAATCTTAATTCCTAATTACTTCTGTGGCTGGAGAGTTTGAGGATTGCTTTTTAAAAAAGACAGCAAACTTTTTTTTTATTTAAAAAAAGATATATTAACAGTTTTAGAAGTCAGTAGAATAAAATCTTAAAGCACTCTTATAATATGGCATCTTTCCATTTCTGTATAAAAGCAGATCTTTTTTTAAAAAAAAAATATTTCTGTAACTTAAGAAACCTGGCATTTAAATCATATTCTGTCTTTAGGTAAGGTTTGGTTTGTGTCTGTGTTTTGTTTGTTCTGCTTGTCCCCCCACCCAAACCTTCTGTTTTCTCTGTGAAACTTACCTTTCCTTTTTCTCTTCCTTCCTTTTTTTTTTTTTGTATATTGTTTACAATAAATATACATTGCATTAAAAAGAAAATGGCCTATGGACTTAATCATTTGGTTGTCCTGTTAAAAGGATGATTTGAAGAATTGGGGCACCAAAGAAATGGTGGCATCCTGATCATTGTGATGTTTGGGGGGGGGGTGTATACTTTTAGAAGTCCTAAAAATCTGCTAAAGACTGTGTCCCCAAAAATCAAAGCAGAAAAATCTTGAAAAGTGTCACCCTACAAGGTCACCTAGGACTTCCCAGGTGGCTCGGTGGTAAAGAATCCACCTTCCAAAATAAAAGAATCCACCTTCCAATATAGGAGACATACTGGCAGAAGACATGGGAGAGGTAGGGTTCCCTGGACTGGAAAGATCCCCTGGGAAGTGACAACCCACCCCAGTGTTCTTGCCTGGGAAATCCCATGGGCAGAGGAGACAGGTGGGCTACAGCCCGTGGGGTCGCAAAAGAGTCAGACACGACTTAGCGAATAAGCAACCACCTTAGGTCACATAAGTTCAAGTTTTAAAAGCTGAGTCGCTCAGTTGTGTCCGACTCTTTGGGACCCCATGTATTATAGACTACCAGGCTCCTCCGTCCATGGGATTTTCCAGGCGGAGTACTGGAGTGGGTTGCACAGAAAATCGCATATCAGTAGTTTGCCCTCCTGGCAAAACGTTGGTTGTGGTTTTAACACCCTCATGGCTTCAGAGCAGATGCTGCTTCCTTGCAGAAGTCAGAGGGGGAGTATTAACCCTGAAGTCAGTGGCTTGTGAGAAAACAATGCCAAAGGAGGTGACTTGCTTGTCTGAATTCAATAGTGCAAACCCCCTGTGATTATGAACACAGCGAAGAAACAGGGTGTCCATTCAAAAAGCAAAGGAAGCCAAGATAAAACTGTCCGAAGGAGACCAGGGGAAACTGTCTCCTTCAGTCTCCGGCTGTATCTGTTGGCACAAGGAAATGAGATTCCCTTCTTTCTCTGTTCCCTCCAGTTTAACTCCTTCTGAGAAGACGCAAAGCCTTCGTAGAAGTAATAGACCTAATCCTGTTTTCCTTGGCCTCCGTTACATGGGAGTTTCCAAGATCAGAGAAACGTTCAGGTCATTTTTCATTAAACAGATGAAATCACTCCTTCCCTCCCACCCCCACACGGAGACACTCCCCCACCCCTCCCCCTCCCGCCTCCAGCACACAGCCCAGCTGATTGGGGAAGTGACTCTGAGCAGGCAAGTCTGCCTTCTCATCCCGAACTGGGCTTACTTCTGCGCTGGTATCTCTTGACACCCTTCACCAGCGTTCAGACTTGGGTATAACCTCACATTGTCTGCTTTTGCTTACTGGAGTGAGTCCTGGCTTGCATACTGCGCGAGGATCGTGACGACCAGGAAAACGGTAGTTATCAAATCGAGGCAACATTATACTCTCCTCCTTTGCAAATACCTTCAACAAACACTGATTCCCTGTTTGTGCCAGAGCGTCATCACGTTTGCTCGGGCCCAGCTTCTCCCCTCCGAGGGCACAAAAATCTCTATTTTCCCCTTGCCAACACTCACAGAATCTCTCCAAAAGCCTCTGTGGTGTTCATTAGTTCCCGTGCACCCGGACCTGCCCTAATCCTGTTGTCAATTAAAATCAACACCTTCCACCCCATCTCGACCACCTCTTTTTCCCAAACTTCCCTTATTTGTCAGATTGGGGCTTCTCTAATGGCTAAGATGGTAAAAGAATCTGCCTGCGAGGCAGGAGACTCGGGTTCAATCCCTGGGTGGGGAAGATCCCCTGGAGGAAGGCATGGCAACCCACTCCAGTATTCTTGCCTGGAGAATCCCATGGACAGAGGAGCCTGGTGGGGTCGCAAAGGGCTGGACACAGCGGAGTGACTAACACCTTCATACTTTCTCCCTCCTAGAAATGTGCTCATCTGTGTGTGACCTTCAGCAGCCCTCCTCAGAGCCAGATATTCTGTTGGGACATCGATACCCCAGGTGGATCAAGCGCAGGTGGCTTACTGCCTCGTGCCTCAGTTTCCCTTTTTGTTAAGAATGTTTCTAATCCCTCCCTTGTGAATCGGGGCTGTTTTTAGAGCGGTTGTTAGCCTGGGAGCCTCCTGAGACTTGACTGTCTCAGAATGAACCAGTCTGTACAGGATTCCTACTGCCTTAGAAAAGGGGAAGGGCAGAAGGGTTTTCAGAAATCCCCAAGCAGGTCTGATACCCAGCAAATACAGCAGATGCTGGCCTGCAGAGAATTCTTCTAAATCGCCTCACCCCCATCCTCCAGACCTAGTCAGAACCCCAGATCACCAGATCATAGAATAGGTTAAAGGAATTTTTATTCTAAAGCCAGAAATGCAGAGCTTATCACCTTGACAACAAGAACTTGATTGGAAACTTAACAGAGTCCTCCAGATCAGAAAAAAGGCTCCTGTGTAGATCCAGAGTTATTTATTTGTACTCAAAATCTCTCTCAACTGTTTTAACAAAAAGGGATTTTTTAGCAAAATGGGATAAACAAGAGATTTTGAAAAAACTCATTTTGAATCATTCTTTTGCACTGTTACTAAAGTGGAACTTACGGGTTAGTTTCAGCTGTATGTTTACTTTCTCACCTCACTGCCATCCCATCCCCCTCTTCCCTTGATTTCCAAAGTGAGCATTTTTGAGGCACCCCAGTGGCACTCTTTAAATTAAATTAACTGATGAACAATCGCTGTAACCAGAGGCGGACTTCCTACTATACTAAAGAAACTTAAACCTCAGGGCTCATCGCTTGCACAGGCTCCTTTGAAGGCTCTATACTTAAACTTGTACTTTTAAATTTATATTGTTTTTTTTTTTTCTGGTCTCACTCCTTGGCATATTGGGATCCTTGTTCCTAGACTAAGGATTGAACTCTTTGCCCCTACAGTGGAAGCACAGAGTTTTAACCACTGAACCACCAGGGAA